CAGCAGGGGCCATTGGCCTCTGACCCTATGACTTTTGCCTTTACTATCTGTAGTTCCATTACTTCAGAAATCGAGCACGGTTTTTCGTCCAGGATGCCAGTACTGCCTCTGCACTGAAGGATGTCAGCTACAAGATTTGTGATGAGGAGGACCAAAAGGTGCATGCTAAGGACATTCCCTTAGTCCTGAGTCAGGAGGACAGCACAGGGGCTGGTCACTGTTTTAGGGATTAGAGATCCTGGAGCTTACTCCACCTTTCCTTTTGGCAGATACCTATCTTCATTAGTCCTTCTGCTTTTTATAGTGCTGAACCTTACTCTGTGCAGAGTAAGTTGAAACCAGAACAAATGGAGCAGCTAAAGGTAATGCAGACTCAAAGCATGCTGTTTGCCTACTTCCCAGACCCAACTTTTCTTCCCCTGTCCCCAATTTCCCTGTCACCACCAGCACTATAGCCTCAGAGACACTCTAAAATTCTGTCTCTGCAGCTGACCATGACCAAACGATACAATGTCTCCCACCAAGCTCTTGACCTCCAGAAGCTCCGCTTTGACCCAGGTATGGCTGACAGGAATAATTATAGGCCATGTGAGGGCAGATGGATCTTCCTGAAAGAGAGACTTAGGGGTGGCAACATGAGAAAGGGTCGGTACTAGCACCAGCCAGACTCTTCTCAGCCTTCTGATTGCCTTCTCTTGGATCCCTGAAGACTTGATGAACCAAAATATTGACATAATCCTGAATCGGAGAAACTGCATGACTGCCACCCTGCAAATAATTGAAAAGAATTTCCCTGAGGTGAGGTCTTAAGCCCAGTGCTGGTTTTTATGCAGAGGAACAGAAAAGATGGGATGCAGGGCAGATTTATCTCTGAGGCCCTAGATAACACCCCTCACTATTAACTCTTCTTCTCAAAAAGCTATTGTCTTTGAACTTGAATGACAACAAATTGTATTGGCTGGACAGCCTGTCTGACATTACAGAGAAGGCCCCCAGAGTCAAGATTCTGAACCTTTCCAAAAATGAGGTGAGAAGAGGGAGCCAGATGAGATTTGGATTGAGGGTGGGTGATAGTGCACATGGGGGTGGGAGCTGGGGGTCCAGGAGCCAGGATGCTTTTCTTTCTCTGGGACTCCTTTTCTAATTTTCCTCCATCTTTCTCAGCTGAAGTCGGTGCGGGAGCTGGACAAGGTGAAAGGGCTGAAGCTCCAAGAGCTATGGCTGGAAGGGAACCCCTTGTGCCGCACCTTCCCAGACCGATCTGCCTATGTAAGGTCAGTGCTGAGCCCTGACACCCTCCTGGGCACCCGTGCACTCTCAGGGCCCATGCTGCCCTGACAGTGCCATCTGCAGGAGGAGGCAGCTCTGGACCTCTGGGAGGACCACAGGCCCACCTCTCCTCTCTGTCCCTTAACCTGCTCACCTGTTCTCCTGGTCTGCCGTGTGTTTCCCACCTCTGCACCAAGCCTCCCCCAGCCTGCCCTCTGTGACTGTGCTATAGAAATCAGGGCTCCCCCTCCTCACCAGCATTGAGGGGGTTCAGCTGTGTGTCCTAAACTGGGAAAGGGCTCTCCAGCCCAGGGCTTCATGCTGAGACAGGTCTTTCTGTGTTTGTGTTGAGATGGGGCTTCTCTCCCCTGTCCTGAGCAGGACCATCCTTCCATTGTTCCTAAAAGATTCCCCCACCTGACCCCAGCTGACAGAATGGCCTTCCTGACCTGTGGTGAGGGCTGAGACTGTGGGTGACTACTGTCATGATAGACATTCCTTTGGCCCAATGCCAGGAGCTGGGCCCTCCTTGAGGAGGAACCTGGGTTCTTGGAGTCAAAGGACCAAAAGGGGGCCACTGCCAGTGAGCAGAGGGCTTTCTGGACCAGGAGTGGAAGGCTCAGGAAGTGGGGAGAAGGGTTGAGGAGACAGGCCAGGCCTCTCCAGGCACTGACTTTCACCACATCTTCCTGCCTAGTCCTTCAGGGGCACCCTAGTTAGCCCCAAACTCTCTAAACCATGTAGAGCTGAGGACTGGCCCTTTGATCTTTTGGGAAGGTCTCATGTCCTGTGGTTGCTCCATGTCCTATGCCCAATACAGACTGAGCTCACACAGATGAAAAAAGCCTAGCCCTACGTGCACTGGGCCCCAGCCTGACAGATGCATTTTTTCCTTTCCTACCTGGAGCCCCAGGGCCAACCAGGAGCAGGTAAAGGAAAAGGCTGCAGTAGGAGAGCCATTTCCTTCCCTCTTCCTCCCTGACCCCCACCAGCATGGTCAAGCGTTTTTCCTTTTCCCTTTCTCCTTTGTCTGTACTCTCCAGATCTCCCCGTATTTCCCTTCATTCCCTTTCTGTGGCTATCCTCTGTCTTCCCCTCCCTGGTCCCTGAGCCCTACCTCCCCCTCCTTCCTGCTTCAGCATCCTGGGCCATCCCTGGGGGTTGACCTGCTCTTGGCTAGGCTAGGTCTGGCAGAATGCTGGACCTCAAGAGAGGGAGCAGAGCCCTGGGCTCCCACTCTACTTCCTCCTCCCTCTGGAGCCTCCCATGGGGACTTTAAGGAAGGTAGGAGGCTGCCCAATCTTGAATTATCCATCACTTTATTCTATTTCTGGTTTGGACAGTGCCATCCGGGATTGTTTCCCCAAGCTGTTACGCTTGGTAAGTCCTTACCTTCATCTTTGTCTCCCCTTACATACATACACAACCACTACATCTGCCCTCAAGCCCTTTTGGTCTTACTTAGTTTAAGTGTTTACATTTTACCCTTAGCCAACTATGGGACATTGGCTCCTGAAAGTGTGGCTGTTCCTCCTGGCAAAAAATAACCACACATACACATGCATGCACTTATTCACACAATGGTTGCATATAATAATAGAGACTTTTAGGACACACTGGTGAACATACCAA